GGTGGCGGTGGTTTCCATGTCCTGGATGAGCTTAAGCAAGCTGGGAAGTGAGTGAGGCGGTGCATTCCTGAGTCTGGCAGCTTTTTGAGTGCACGCGCAAGCTGTCCAACAGTGAGTGGTGGAAGCTGGGCTGCATGTACCTGGGCTTCTTCATGCAAGGTCTGTCTGGCCATTGGCTGGTTGTCTGCAGTTGGTTGCCATAGCTGGTGCCAGTCGTGTAGTCTGTGTCTCATACGGTCCGCCATGGGTATGTGGCGGTAGGGCCGTTGCCATGAGAGCTCGCTGGCTTTCAAGTTTCTGAACAGTCCTCTGAGGCCCTTGGCTTCTCCTTGGCGGATCCATGCTGCATATTGCAACTGGGTTTCAGTGCGGGACTGCTCTTGCGCTTGAGTCAGTTGGTGGTGGATGGTGTGCTGCATTAGCTCCATGGTTCTGGGATCGCGGCGCTTGTCCCAGTGTTGGGCAGTGTCGAGGAATTGCGCCCACGTTGGTTCTCCAGTCCAGTGCTTGGGAACGGACTCAATGGCTTTGAGGTAGCCGCGGATGGCACCTTGGGTTGGTTGTACCTGATGGCTGATGAGGTTCAGTCTGGCCTGGAGCTGCTCCCAGTATGCCGGCTTACCCTTTTTCCAAATGGGTCCGGTTTTGGCCGATGCTAGTGGCTGGAAAACTTGCTGCAGGTTGGATGCCCGTCCTTGTGGTGCCCACGGGTGCTGTTGTAGGAGGTATTGTTCGGTGATCGACACCCAATCCGCCAAGGGTCTCGCGGATGGATTTGGTTCGGCGTCGTAGAGCTGCAAGTCCTCAACCTGACTGACATAAGTTGTCGGAGTCCAAGGTCGAAAGCCTGGTGCCGGTAGCTCCGGTAGTGCTGGGAAAGTCCGGAGCTGGTTGTAGTTCCTGAAGTCATCCGGCAGTTCAACAGCGTAGGTGACCAAGCAGTGCGGCCGCCGCGGCACTGCCCATTCGGTGGTCATGGATGTCAGTGGTGCAAGTTGGTTGTGGATCAAGGCATAGTCCACCACGTTGCCATTGAGGAGGGTGGCATCTGGGGCAAGAATCTGCCGGCTGCCAGTGGAATTTGGAACCCAACACTGTACCCTGGAACTGGCTGGGGTGCCCGTGCCAGTCACCCAAGAGGATGTACTGCCGATTGGAGGCCTCGACGAGAGCCAGAAGTCGTCCAAGGAGCTGCGAGTTGGTTGGCCCTTGGATCGTTTCATTGGTCTTGAAATAGACTGCAACCACCAAGATCGATCTGGCTTTGGCTTCCCATAGAAAGGCCTGAAACCCGCAGCCCTCGATGTGGTAGTTCTCAAGCTGTGTGACGCCATGGTAGTTGGCATGTAGGACAAGTATGCCTCCATGGTTGCCTTCATTGGTGTCGTTGGTGTGTGCCGGAAGGCCAAAGGCATGCCGGCCTCTGACTTCAAAGTACTGACACAGTGTGTCGCGCTTCTGTTTGTCCAGATGGGTCTCAACCATGATGTGGATGTCATTGTCTCGACACCAAAGCCAATCGAGGGTGTGTTTGCCAAAGGTGGTGATGTTGGCCACATGGATTCTCATGGTGTCCTGGATTCTCATGGTGTCTCGAGGTGTGCCATGGAGCGGTGGATCGTAATCCGGGGTCTCAGGAGCCGGTAGCGCCCGCTGGATTGTCTCCCTGAGCAGTCCCAGGAACAGAATGTTTGCAAGTGGCGCTCAAGAGAGCTTTTATGACTGCACACCACACAGCGCACAGACGAACTGTAGTCTCGGTTCTCCTGGATTTGTCCAATTTCTATGACCGCATTTGTTTGCAGAAGCTTGCAAACCGATGGGTGGAGTCAACATACCCTGCAACGCACGCGGCCATGGCAATGCAAGTCTATAGCGGGAGCCGGATCCTGGAGGCAGAAGGAGAGGCATCAGAACCTTTGTGGGGCACACATGGCATCCTTGCCGGAGATCCTCAAGCACCTTTGGCTGCCAAAGTGTACCTGCAGAGAGCACTGAAGGAATTCCACAAAAAATACCCTCAGCTGCACACTGACCTCTGGATCGACGATCTAAGTTTTGATGTGGTTGACAAGGATCCTCGCAATGCTGCCAGAATTGCCATTCAGGCATACGACTTTGTGAGAAATGAACTCGAGAAAGACGATCTGAAAGTCTCGGCACAGACGACTGGATTTGTTTGCTCGAATGCAGCTGTCAAGAGGATCTTACAAGAACAACTACCTCAAGGAGGGCCTCGCATTCATGATGTGATGAGAGACTTGGGGGTCGACTGCACGGCGGGGCGCCTTAGGCGTATCCAGACGATGAGGGGACGTCGAAGCAAAGCAGCGAGGAAGACAAGGAAGTTGCAAGCGCTCAAGATTCCACTGCAGTCCATCCGCTTGAAGTTGTACAAGGGGTCCATAGTTGCTGGCATAAGCTGGGGCCATGAGGCCATGGGCCTGGCTCCACAAGTTCGACGACGTCGCAAGGCCACCATGCGCCGTCAGATGGGCTTACAAAAGACAGGGAACGTTGACATCCTTTTTGACATGATGTCTCAGCACCGTGATCCAGACTATGGTGCATTTGAAGATCAGGTCAGGCTGTACCATCGCTTCTATGGCAACTGGCCTGAACACTTGGGCCGAGATCTTGAAAAAGCCTGGCAAGTACACCGAGAACGACTCCAGCATGTGAAGTATCCCTGGCAGCACGCCAAAGGTCCTGTTGCAGCCTTGCAATGTTACCTCCATGAACACGGCTGGAGCTGTGAGAGCCACAGTGAGTGGACCAAGCCTGGACACAACGGGCAACCGGAGTTCAGGTTGAACATGCATGCAGACTGTTTTCCTCAAACAGGAGTTAGCCAGGGCAAGGAGATGGGAGACGGGTGCAGCAACCTTTGGATTGGCTCCCATGGCGGCGATTGAGTCGCACCCTCAACAAACAGCAGAATGTGGCACTTCAGACATGGCATCAAGGAGCGCTTTTTTCCAAGAGTGCAGAAGGACAAGATGGCAAGCCTTTGATCTGCCCGCATTGCAAGGTTGAAGCCACCATCATACACCTGCTTTGGCCGGAGCGGTGAACGAAAAGTCCATGACTCCTTCATGTGCAAGTGGGTCAGGAGCACGTGCATCTGGGGCTAACAAAGCACCGAAGTTCGCTGGTGCTGCCAGGCGTGCTGATTCTACACGACAACAGCACAGCGGGTATGGCAAGGCAGATCCCCGAGAGCCATGGTCTACTTCCTCCACCACCTCCACCACCCCCAGAACAGGTGACTCAAAAAGCCTGCAGCCCACTCGATCCTGCGGATGGGAAAGAAATAGAGATGGGAGTGAACTTGGATTTCTGGTCACAGGGCCTGATCCAAATGCCCACCTATGAGCTGTCTACAGGTGGTGCTGCAGTACAGACATGGGGATCCTGGACCATGCATGACGAAGTGGTCCTGCAAGACTCAGACAAGGTGACCATAGGCATAGCAACAACGAGCAAAGATGTTCGACTCAAACACTACGTTGTCGCCTTGGTGCACCACACACAAGTTGACGGAGAACTATACCGCAAAGGTGCGGTAACAACAGTGTTGCCAGGAGCCCAGTCATTAGAACGTGCATGGTTCTACGGCATGAGGTTGATGGCGCATTACCTGGATTTGTCAAAGAAAGTGGTTGTACAGGTGCTCTCAGTACGAGCATGGGAGGGCTGGATGAAGAACAAACACCGTGAGGTTTTTCACGATCTGAGCAATCTAGTCACCCATGATCAACGATCTCGCATTCAGCCAATGAGTTTGACTTTGAAGCAGATCAATGAGATGCCCAGAGGACCTTTCACAGTTCAGGCTCGAATGAAGGACGCAACTAAGGCAGCAAAAGAAGTCGCCATGAAGAACTGGAGGAGGAACTTAAGGTGACCGACCAGCGGTACCAGAAGATTGCTCCACTGGCCATTCAGCGCATCAAGCACCTTTTTGAGGACAAGGGACATTTTTTGCATGAGGCCAAAGAGACAGGGAAGCAAAACAGAGCGCAAGCCAGAGCTGCCAAAAGTCAGTTGTTTTTGGAAATAGGAAATCATCGCCAAGAACAAGGGCATGCATGGCAGACCAAAGGCACAGGCCTTCAGTGTGGGGGATGCAGCAAACGGATCACACAACATTGGAAGATGGCTGATTTGCAAGCTGTCAAGAATGAGAAGTGTCCTGCTGTGGAAAAACTCCAACTCACTGGAGGGAACCAGCCAAGCCTCTCCAAAGGAGAGACAATCCAGCAGATGCTGAGGGGCGCGCTGCCCGAGATGTCAGCCCACAGATTTGAGCTCCAGAAGAACTACCTTGTGCGCATGGAGTGCAAATGCCGCATTTTGCGGCACGCTGCAAAAGACAAATTGGTGGCTCTTGCTGCCAATCCCTGCTGGAACGGGCCATGGATGGTGGCCGCCGACTGGGATGGTCACTGCACCCACGTGATGTGGAGGCAAGGTGGCCGGCTCACTTGCCAGCAGTGCAAGTCACAAGCCTTGACCAAGAATGGACACTTCACCGCAAGCAAGCAGTTGCGCATTCCATGCGGTAAAGATGAACGTCAGAGCAAGCTTCCGACTTGCTTTAAGGCCAAGACGGCCGTGTGAAGAGCTTAGGAAAAGACACGAGAAAAAATGTATATATACACTTTCATGTGTGGATGGTCATGGTGCATGTTCTATGTTATTTGTTCTGCAGCTGAGTAGCATCAAATGCTAAGTTTTGCAGTGTGTGGCGTATGTTCTAAGTATTTTGGATGTCAACAATGTTCTTAAATTGAACTTAGAATAAATCGAACTTAGAATAAATCTCACCTGCAAAAATATTTTCAAAAAAATTCTAACTTTCACTGCGTCATTATATATATATATGATATATGTGTGTGACTTATGTATATGATGTACCTTCATGGTTTTCCATGATAAAATGAGGAGTGCGAGGTGTGCCAGCTGAGAGATGCAGAAGAGACGGAGCTTTGGCTAAGGCTGGCGCGGGTCGCGCAAGTCGCACAAGCCAACCAGGCGTGTTTGGCACACATTCGAAGATTCTGAATGCTGAAAAGGTTAAGTGGACTTTGGGCCTTAGCAAGTGGCTTGGTTTCATTGCTCAGCTTGAGGTCGCAGGATCATTTTGATGCTTCGCCATGGGCAGTGCTGCCATGAGGGCGAAAGGGATGAGCTGAAAGAACTCACACCACATGGCCACAAGCAGGCTGAGGACGGACAAAGAAAGATGCCTTTGGAACTTGTGGAACATTCTGCAGATTTATTTGGAAGAAATTGACCAACTGACGCAGGACACGGCGTGTTTCATTAGCAAGTGCCAAACTTGGGACGACGGGCATTCGTCAGCAAAAATCATACAACTGAACCAGCAATATCCTGGAAGTATGTCAAACGTTGTCAAACATCCTCTGACTCGATAGATCTTGAAAGCTTCACATCCTTGAATCGCTTGAGGCTTTTTGCCATGGGCAAGCTTCCAGCAAAGCGAGCCTTGCTGCATAGCACCAGCCGACGGGCAAGAGAGACGGCGGCCAAGCTGCCAATCCATATCCAGGATTTAGACGTTTGGCAACTCAGCACAAAATAAGGCGGCATAAATGAAAAAGGATGAAAAAGGTATGGTAAGCCTTTACCTTTTTTTTTCATATCTTGTTTTTTCTTTTATTTTCAAATTCTTTTCTCCTCTCGGTCCCACTAAAATAGAGCACATACCTCCAGCCAGTTGTGAAGGGGGCCTCGGGGATAGCATTTTGAGCGAGAGCCTTTGCATGGCCGTTGTTGAGGAATGCCGACCTTTTACGTGAGACTGTGCGAACCTTAAGCTGTAGGGATTGGACATGTCATGTGGTTGGCGCAGAGAACGCAGACATGTAGCAGCAGAAAGGAAATTTAACTTGCTTATGCATCCATACCATACCAGTTTTTCTGTAGCGGCAGCAAGGTTTGATTGAAGTGGTCAGGCCAGTTCTGTTTTGCTTAGGATCCTACTGAGAAGCCTTTTCGTGCTGAAGAGGTCTTCAATCGGCTATTTGCAGCCCCCGAGGCTTCCAAGGGCGGTGAGATCACTAATTTGGCCCACTCCACAGTTCAGCCGTAGTATAAACATTCGTCCAGACTCTTCATCATTCTTTTGGCCACACACACACACACTCTCCCGTTAATATTGTGAGGGGTGTGATGGGATGCCCGGATGCCTGTGATGATAGAATTGCACTGCATAGCTACCTACTGGCAAGTTCAACAGTCAAGTGATTATTATATAGCGAGGCTTGGTAGCTTATATAGATCCCCCGGCAAATGCAACTAACTAGGAACTGGTCAATTGAGAGGCTGGAGACTCCGATGCTCTCATCATAGTTGCCCACAACAATATCATTTTGTAGCTTGGATTTGTTAGTTTTGGCATCACTTTGCTTCATTTTGCTCTGTCAGGTCCTTGCGGGTGGTCCAGCAGCCCTCATATCGGGATATGTAGGACATGCTTAAACACAAACAACGAAAAAGAGCCCACCTTCAACCCAGCTTCATGGTCCCAAAAACACATGCTTGGCCAAGGTACATGCTCATGCGTAGTGCACTTACATACACAGTCTTACAAGTTGACTCAACAATCATTTGCCGAGAAATGACGTGAGTGGCACAGATCAACTGTTTCAAACATGCATAGTCAAGCAAGGTGCAGCGGGTGTTCCAATAGAGCGAGCTGCCCAGGCTTTGGCCTTACAGTGGCATTGGCGCATCTCAAGATTACTCTTTATATAGTTGTTTGTTTGCTTGTTTGTTTCTTTCCTCTCAGGCCTGGATGCTTTTTCATCTTCGGCATGCATCGATCACGCGGATTGATGTCTTTTCAACTGGCGACAAGAAGGCAACATGGCACCTTGAGAGCTGGGGAGGATGGCGTTGAATGGAATGGGCTCCTTGCCAGTGTCAGGTTGTTTCCATCGGTTCTGCGGCCCATGTAGCTGACACAGTCAGTGCCCAAGCGGACAAGCTGAGACACATGATGACACATTGACATTGTTCAGGCTGTTACATGGAAGAATGTCACCGGCCTTTGCCCCAGCCAACGCAATGGACCTTCGGAGTGATATGTTTTCTTGCGAACGCAGGCGCTGATATGTCAGCGTGGAAAGGTGGAGGCAAAACATCCGCAGCCTTTTGCATGACATGACATGCCGTGACATATACATCAAAATGCGACACCGCTGTTACGACATATATGACATAACATTGCTTCGATTATTGATCGATTCTGCATATTTATTCCTGCCCCAGAAAAATCTGATGAGGAGGACAGTTCAGAACATCGCGGATATGTTCCCACCAACAACCTCGCCTTTGGTGACAGGTCCTGAAAGGCACAAATTTGGTGGCAGAATGCTGGTGTTGGTGGGCCTCTTAGCAGATGCGCTTCCTGAATCAGCAACAACATGGATTCCCATTAGGTTCGACAAGCTGCTGGTCAGAGTCTAAGGATCCAGTCGCTGTGAAGTTGTTGAGGATTCAGTATTGTGGTTCTTTACGCATCCAAAAGCTGCCGAGTGACAGTTCATATTTGATCTATATATCTATCTATTTGTGCAATTACCGCTAGCTTTTCAACTGCTTATATCTTTTTTTTTTATCCATCAGTGACATCAGTGTCACTATGGGAACTTGCTGTATGCATGTGTGTTGCTGTGCGTATTTGCAGCATTATATTTTCAATATTAATTGTTTGACTGACTTCGGGAATTAGAGATGTCGGTCGGGTTGGAGACGAAGGGTGGGACTGTGGTTTCACTATGTTAATGTAATCTTCACTGTTCATGGTTTTGGTGCCGGGGGCAGAACGGCGCTTGCACACGGAGGTTCACAAAGGGGCTGGATATTTATCCAACCCTCCAACATATTTTTTCAACCCCAACCTTTTTTTTTCAACCCTCCAAGACGCTTTTTCAACCCTGGGTTGGAAAAAATGTAACCCCTACTAAATCAACCCATGGTCCTTATATTCCAACCGTTTTTTCACCCTGGAAACATTATTTTTTCACCCTGGAAACATTCTTTTTCCACCCTTGAACCTTTTTTTCCAACCCACAAACATACTATTTCAACCCCATGACACGCTATTCAAACCCTAGGTCGCACCGTGAGGGGCTGCCCCTTCAGTCCTAGGATGTAGACGCCTTTGTTGGAACCTCGAATGATTCGGCCGGCCCATTCTGCTATTGCTGCTCCTTCTCCACCGTCTTCCTTTTGCTTTGGCCTTGCTGGCTGGCTGCTATCACTTGTCTTAAATTGCACAGTTGCTCCCTGTTTTTGATATTAAAGTTGACTTTCAGTCTTTTGAGATGTTTTGAGTGAATTCTTCTTCTTCTTCTTCAAAAAACGTTAACAGAAACTAGTCCTGCGTAGGATTTGCCTACATGGAGCCTATAGCCACTATAGTGCTATACCATAAATGGCTCATTATAGTGAGATAGTCCCATGCAGGCTCCCATGGCTTGAGACTTATGGTGGACACAACCACAGCAAGATGTTGGTTGAGCATTCCATAAACATGGACCATTTTCGAATCAAAATGATCACCGGCTCATGGAAAGCCATTCCATAAAGAGAAAAAGGCGTCTGTGAATTTTCATTTTTTGTTCTTCTATCTTGTCTCACCATTACTGTATATAAAAAGGTCGGGTTCTAATTTTATAAAGCAGCAGCCTGAGGTTCCATTTTATAAATGATTTTTCCTGATAAAATGAAATCCCTCACCCCAGAGACCTCCACAAGGGGGATTCTAATGACACATGACCTGCAAAACCCTACAATGGTGGATGCTGAGGGCCACTTCAACCCCATCCAGCTTTTAGCGTAGCGTCTTTCCGCGCTGTTCTATCCATTTGTCTACATACTTGTCTATCGATCTATCTATCATATCTACCTACCTAATCTAATCTAATCTATCTATCTATCTCTATCTCCACTTCCAAGTTCACAAAGTGCTGCACTTGCCACGAAATTTGCACTTCAAGGTCCACAAAGTACTGCACCTACCACTAAATCAGCACTTCAAGGTCCACAAAGTACTGCGCCTACGACGAAAACTACACTTCGAGGTCCACAAAATACTGTGCTTGCCACGAAATTTGCACTTCAAGGCCCACAAAGTACTGCGCCTGCTACGAAAGCTGCACTT